AAGGAGAGAAATGAATTACAGTAGATGGGGTAGAGAGAGAAAATGGGAGGGGAGGGGAGGGGGGATAGTAGGGAATAGGAAAGGTAGCAGAATACAACAGTTACTAATAGGGCATTATGTAAAAATGTGGATGTGTAACCGATGTGATTCTGCAATCTGTATTTGGGGTAAAAATAGGAGTTCATAACCCACTTGAATCTAATGTATGAAATATGATATATCAAGAGCTTTGTAATGTTTTGAACAACCAATAAAAAACAAACAAAAAAAAGAAAAAAGAAAAAGAAATTTAAAAAATTTAAAAAACAAACGGCACTAGCAGAACTAAGAAGCTGCTCTCAAGTTCCCTCAAGAGTGACTCCCATGGGAACTCATCTGACTCTTAACAATAGATAGAAACAGGGTCAGTTTGACCTGCTTCATCTTAAACACCTAGCAAAAACAGCTAAAACCAAATCACAGCTATTCCTGGACATTTAAAAAATAATAATAGTTGAATGTAATTTAAGATATGCACTTGTGTTAGCCTCCCAAAATAAATAAGACTGGAGACTATAAAAGAGAGATTCTTAAGAAGGAACGCTTAATAACTATCAAGTGAAACAGCCAAGTCAGAAGTTTTTAGCCAGTTTAAGGCTTACAGATCTTTCTAACCTCCTACACAGGTAGGATTAATATTTACTAACATGATTATCTAGCCCTAAGTAATAGACATAAAGCATTCTCTACTAGACACAGAGGTCATACAACTACAAAGATTTTATGAGATCAGATGACATTAAGTAGCTTAACTACATCTCATGGTAATGGACATCTGTAACATTAAAAATTAAATGTGTGTTTACCTTCCTGATAACTCTGAAGATGTTAAAGATTTATATTCCCAAATAAAAGCCTTGTCCACTCTGGCCTTATTATGGGGACAGCTTCTCAGCCCTCACACCCCCTGGTGAGAGAACTTCTATCATCTTCATGTTATACATTGACATGTTCCAGATGCTGAAACGTTTACTCAGTACTCATGTTTTTGTTTCTCTCATGGAAGCACCCATCCCCAGATGACTTTACAATCTGATCTTCCCCAACCAGATTTCAATCTGACCCAAATTCTAAAAGGGAAATCCAAACTGCTTTCCTCACCTCACGTCGAGCTCCCCCACTCAGCTCAAAGAAGCCAGAGCAGTATTTGCCCCTTTTCCTTACAGTAGTAAGGAGTTCCTAAAATTAGAGTGGGGAATGAAGCCAGAATTAGACAGGCAATAAGTATTGGTAGGTAAATCGAGTCAAGTCAGATCAAGGAGGCCAAATTTGAGTGAGTCCAGGAAGTTGGAGACTGGCCTCTGAGAGATTGAAGTGTTAATTTCTTTAGAGCACTTCCTTCATCCTTATCAAGAACTTGCCTCTGCTCCCTGTTGCTAAGGTAACCTATCCCAGGAATTGCCCCTCCCTACAGGGAGCTATAAGGTTGTTAATTATTGTATCCAGGGCTGCTCCGTCCTGCCCTTCCCCGTTCATCCCACCTGTTTCCCATCTTTTGACCATCCCACTGAGTATTCCTGAGCCTACTCTGAGGCTACCAAGATACAGAACTCATCACCGATAACCGGCGGTATTATTGCATAATTCTCAACCATACTTGTAAAAACTATTTACTGTAGACTTTAAGGAGGTGAACTATATAGTATGTAAATTTTATCTCAATAAAGTCTTTTTATCTAAGTTGACAATTGGGCTGGGAGGATAACCCACTGGTAGAGTGATTGTACTAAGAACCTCTGATTGATCCCCAAGAAAAAAGAAAAGCACAAACAATGATGGAAAAGAGATAAAAGACATTTAGATCTACGTTTTGCTTTTTTTTCTTTCTTTTTTTTAAGAGAGCATGAGAGAGAGAGAGAGAGA